TTAGCCAGCTTCCACTTGATGGATAACTGGGCCATTTCCAAGATTTAGCTATTACAAACTGTGCCGTTATAAACATGGATAAGCATGTATCGCTGTGGTATGAATCTTTTAATTCTTTTGGAAAGATACCCATCAGGGGAATAGCTGGGTCAAATGGGACCTCTAACCATAGTTGTTTGAGGTATCTCCATATTGGTCACCACAGTGGTTGCACCAGTCTGCACTCCTACCAACAATGCAGAAGGGTTCCTTTCTCCCTATAGCCTGGCCAACATTTGTTATTGGTTCATTTCTTGATAGGAGACATTGATTCTGGAGTGAGATGAAATCTCAGTGTTGTTTTCATCTGCGTCTCTCAAATGACCAGTGATACTGAACATTTTTTTGTATGTTTATTTGCTCCTTTTCTTTGTCTCAGAAATGTCTGTTCATTTCAGATGCCCATTTTATTTTTCAGCTTTAATTGAGTTTATTGGTACATTTTAGGGATACAGTACAGTTACATTCATTGTTGGGATCTTGTACCTCTACATGACAAGTCTTGATTCTCATTTTTTTCCCCTTACCCCTGCCCTCCCTTCACCCCCTCCTCCCCTCCCCATCTACAAACACTTTATTTTCATCTTTTCATTATCTCACATTTTTTTCTTTTCCCTTATTACCCTTCCCCTACCCATCCCACCTTCCCTACACCTTTAGCTCCTTTCTTCTCATTTCTAAATGTCAGATGCCCATTTTTTGATTGGGTGTTTATATTTGGGGATCTGATTTTTTTAAAATTTCTTTATATATACTGGATAGTAAACCTTTGTCTGAGGAGCATCTGGTAAAGTTTTGTTCCCACATTGTAGGTTGTCTCTTAGCTCTGTTGGTAATTTCTCTTGCAGGGCAGGAGGTTTTTAATAGGATGAGATCCCAGTCGTTGCTTCTCTGCTAGTTCCTGTGCTACTGAGGTTTTGTTCATAAAGTCTTTTCCTATGTCAATGTTTTCAAGAGTTCTACCTAGCCTATCTTCCCGCAAGTTTAGTGCTTTTGTTTTAAAATTTAGATCTTTGATCCACTTCGATTTTAGTTTAGTGCATAGTGAAAGATATGGGTCTAATTTTAATCTGTGGTAGGTTGAAATCCAATGTGAAATAAAGGTCTACCTTAATCTTCAGGCAGGTGGCTGTCCAATTTTCTTTTTATTGAGTTTATTAGTACATTCTAGGTATATATTACAGTTACATTCATCACTGGGATCTTGTACCTTTACATGACAGGTCTTGGTTCTCATTTTTTCCCCTTGTCCCTGCCCTCCCTTCACCCCCTCCTCCCCTCCCCATTTACTAACACTTTATTTCCATTTTTTTCATTTTCTCATATTTTTTCTTTTCCCTTCTTCCCTTTCCCCTACCTTTCCCACTTTCCCTACACCTTTAGCCCTTTTCTTCCTATTTCACATTGTTAATTATCTCATTATAATCTTGTGTACTATTATAGTTTTTCACACCAGAGAGACTATTCGGTATTTACATGTGCGACTTATTTATTTCACTTAGGAGTATATCATCAAAATGTATCCATTTTCATATGAATGACTCTAATTTCTCATTCTTTATGGCTGAGTAGTCTTCCGTTTTATAGAAAAACCACATCTCCTTTATCCAGTTTCCAACTGATGGACAAATGGGCTATATATATTTTATAATATAATATATTATATGGGCTATAATATTTTAGCTATTACAAACTGTGCTGCTGTAAATATAGGTGTGCATATGTCACTGTGATACGATTCTTTTAATTCCTTTGGAAAGATACCCAGAAGAGCTATGGCTGGGTCAAAAGGAACCTCTAGTCCCAGCTTTCTGTGGTATCTCCATATCGATATCCATAGTGGAAATCTGCACTAGTCGGCACTCCCACCGACAATGGAGAGGGGTTCCTTTCTCCCACAACCCCGCCAACATTTGTTATTGGTTGATTTCTTGATAGCAGCCATTCTTTGTGGGGTGAGGTGGAATCTCAGTGTTGTTTTCATCTGCATCTCTCAAATGACCAGTGACGTGCAGCATTTTTTCATATATTTACTTGCTGCTTTTACTTCTTTGTCTGAGATATGTCTGTTCATTTCAGATGCCGATTCTTGAATTGGGTCTTTATATTTTGAGGGGCTGATTGTTTTGAGTTCTTTATATATTCTAGATAAGAGTCCTTTGTCTGAGGAGCAGCTGGGAAATTTTTTTTCCCACATTGTAGGTTGTCTTGTAGTTCTGTTGATGGTTTCTTTTGCAGTGCAGAAGCTTCTTAATAAGATGAGATCCCAATTGTTGATTCTTTCTGCTAGTTCCTCTGCTACTGCGGATTTGTTCATAAAATCTTTTCCTATACCATTGTCTTCAAGAGTTCTGCCTAACTTATCTTCCAGCAAATTTAGTGACTCTTTTTAATATTTATATCTTTAATCCACTTGGATTTTCATTTAGTGCATGGTGAGAGATAAAGTTCTACTTTGAATCTTTAGCAGGTTGAGATCCAGTTTTTCCAACACCATTTATTAAAGAGGCTATCTTTCCTCCACTGAGGATGGTCAGCTCCTTTGTCAAAGATGAGGTAGCTGATTACATCTGCAGTTGTTTTTGTGTCTTCCAGTCTGTTCCACTGATCCTCAGGCCTATTTCTTTGCCATTACCATGCTGTTTTTATCACAGTGGCTTTGTAGTATAGTTTCAAATGGGGAATTGTTATACCCTCTGCCATGAGTTTGTTGCCTAGGATGGCTTTTGCTATTCTAGGTCTCTTATGGTTCCAAATGAATTTTTGGATTCTTTTGTCCAATTTTCTTAGAAGCATTTATTAGAAGCCTATCTTTCCTCTGGTGAATTTCCTCAGTAACTTAGTGAAAGTGAGCTGATCCTGGTGTAAGGGTTTATTTCTGGACTTGCAGTTGTATTTCAGTAATCTGTATAGCTTTATGCCAATACTTCATTGTATGTATAACTGCAGCTTTATATAAGTTTTGAGGTTGGGATGTGTAAGTTTGAAATTGGGAAACAATATATTTTGTTACTTTTTAAAAAATCATTTTGTCATTTTAGATCTTTTTCAAAATTTCATAGAAATTTTGGTATCATCTTGTCAAATTCTGCCAAAAGTCTGTTGAGGTTTTGGTAGAATCAATGAACCAATCAGGGAAAGCACCCTTCATAATAATATCAACTTTTTTTCCATTAACTTGATACCTGACCTTCTTTTGAAGGTATCTGTCTTTATTACACCCCTATGGTGGCTTTTAAAGACTTTTTTCCTTGATTTCAATTTTAAACAGGTGTACAATTATGTCTTTGGGTATAGATTTCCTTTTATTTATACTGCTTGGAAATTTGATGCTTCTTGAATATGTGAATGAGTGTCTTTCATCAGTTCTGGGAATTTTTTCTTCAAATATCATTTTTCATTGAATGTAAAATATCAATTCTAAGATACACAGTCTGCAAAATTTATGTAACACTAAATTTCTTGATAATATTATTATGGGTATTACTATTGTTTGTGTGTGCGTGTGTGTGTGTATTGTGTGTGTGTGTGTGGTTGCTGGGATTGAACCCAGGGATTTCAGCTACCATTCTATAGACACCCCTAATCCAGTAATAGCACTATATAACATACGAATTTCTCATGAATTTGGTAAATAATTCCTCAGTTGCATTGCTTGATACATAATCTTTTATATGCATCTCTATAAGAAAGAATAGCATATCCGGCGATTTAGCTCAGTGGAACCATGCCTACCTCACAAGTGCAAGGTCCTGAGTTTGATCCCTGGTGCAGGGAATAAAGAAAAAAAGACAGAATAGCATAATCTCTTTTCTTTCTTAGGTCCTGTAAGAAATTAGGTGTTTGCTTGGCAAGAATCTAATGATCACTCAACTGTGGCCATTGCAATTATTTTTTATTCCTTCACTAATGTCAGGCTGTGTACTACTTTTAACAAATTTTCCTGGAGTATAGTACACATCACAATAACTACTGTGGTTTGAATGTGTCCCCTAAAGTTCATGAATTGGAAACTTAATCCCCAAGGCAGCAGTGCTGAGAGTGGAACCCTTAAAACGTGATGAAGTCACAAGGGTTCTGCAGCCATGAATGGATTAAGATTACATTGGGGATAGATTATTGAGAGACTGGGCCTTTTACCCAGGCAAGTCTGCCCTGTCTTTTGCTCTTGCTGTCTTCCCTTTCCCCCTACTGCCTTGGAGTTACATAGCAAGAAGGCTCTTACCAGATGCGGGACTCTTGACCTTGGATTTTCCAGCCTATACAGCTGCAAAACATAAATTTCTTTTCTTTATAAGTTACCTGGTCAGTGGTGTCCCATTATAGTTATAAAATGGATGAGCACATTAATTCTTGATGTTAATAAATAGTTTTAAAAGATATTTTAAACAATAAACTCAACTGATTCATTACTGCCCATACATGTAACCCAGTTGAAATGTGGACAACACGAACAGCACAAATGCAATTTGACTGCTGCCTGGCCAACAGTAATTGTGAGAAACCACCAGTTCTGAGATTCATCTTGATTTCAGAGATGTTAAAAAAAGCTTATAGATTGTCATCGAAGAACTCAGGCCTTGCTTCTGAAAATATTATTTTTTTTTCTCTTCTGCTGGAATGGAGAGTAAACATATATTAGATTTTGCTCAACCTTCCGTGATTGTTTTCTGAATAGTTTCTTCTGATTTATGCTTTAGTTCTTTCTTTTTGTGTCTGATCTTCTGCTAGAGCAATACATCAAGTTTAAAATTTAGTGCTTGTGTTTTTTACTAATAGAAATCCATTTGACTATTTTTCAAAGTGTGTTTTCACTGTTCATAGTTTTCTATCCATGCAAATATTTTCAAATTACTATATATCTAAACATACATAGTAAGCACAGTTTTATAATCTATATCTGATATCTCTAACATCTGAAGTCTTAACAGGTCTTTTTCTATTGTCTTTTATTTATGCAGATTTTTGCCCATGGTGCTTTTGTCTTTATGCCCTGCAAACGAGTACTGAAGAAGAAAAGATTAGGGCCATGGTCTCCGTTGAGGGAGATTGAAAGCATTACTTGACATGCTGTTCTCGGGAGGAAAAAGGTAATGAGAACTCATTAAATCTGACGGAGGTACAGAAGAAGCGAGGACGCCTCAGATACTTTTTTTGGTAGCTGTGTTTATCGCCTGGAAAGACTAAGACTCAGGAAAACAGAAAACCACGATCAGCATCCGTAGACACCCCCACCCCACTCTCAGCGTGGTGAGCTGCCAGAGGGTAAGAGCGACTGAGTTTGCATCTGGACATTTATTTAGGTGTTGATTCTTCATTCAGAATTAACGGAGGTACAAGGATAGCACAGATCTGGGAGGTGGAAGGTGGGATGCTGGTGGATGCCTTGGGGGCCTGGGGACCCCCAGGCAGGAGAACCGAGGTGAGAGCTGATGTTAGAACGTGTTTTGAAGCATTTGTTTTGGAATTGTTAAACTGTGAAACCATCATCTCGATGAACCCTGAAACCGCAAGTACTCATGTACAATTCCACCAAAATAGAGGGACTGTCTTCTGAGGCAGGTGTTCCTAGGTGTGTTACTTTTCTCTTGCTGAGACAAAATATCAGACAACCAAACAAAGTTAAAGGGGTAAGAGGCTTATTTAGCTCACAGTTTGTGGAGGTTTCAGTCCCTAGCCAGCAGGCTCCAAGGCAGGGATGACAAACAGGCTTCGCAGGGAGAACAACATGGCACACACAAGGCAGCAAAGGCAACAACAAGGAACAGTTCATGGCAGTGAAAGACAGCAAAAAGCAACAAGAGACCTTCATCTGGTCTTTCTGCTCCTTTAATCTTACTCAGACTACCGGGATTAGGGCAGTGCCAAACCACTCACTCACATGGAATAGTTTAGTAACCACACACCCTTAATCCCAGCATCGCACAGATTCAGCTGCCTTCGAAAAAGATCGCCTGAAGCTTTGGGGGGACGTCTAGACACGGGCCATAACACCAGGCCTTTCCCCAGCATCTCTCATTTTCAAAAACTGCTTTGAAAAGTTTGATTAGTACATTTTGGTGTACACAACGATGACGCCTACTGTGGGGATTCGGCACACGGACATTAACACAACTTCATTCCTTTTCCGGCCCCTTCCCCTCCCTTTCCTCCCACTCCCCCATCTCTTGGTCTCCTTCCCTTTTGCAAAAGGTCCATCTGTTCCCTATCACTGTTTATTTTGCTTTTTATTTATATTTTGGTTTCTCGTATAAGATAAACCATGCCATATTCAAGTGTATTTGATTTATTTCACTTACCATTATGGTCTCAAGGTGCCTCCATTTTCCTATGAATGACTCAATTTATCCTTCTTTCTAGCAGAGTAGTACTCCACTGTGTAGTAGATACCTGAAAGCAGAATAATTTCCCCAGCGTCTCTCTATTCCAGTTGTACCACAGTAGTTTTACCGCATTTTCCAGTGGGCAAAAACATTTCTATTTTTTTTTTTTGTTTCTAAATTCTTTAGAAAGGTACATTTTTCATTTTCTCAGCCTGTACGTTTACAGATAGAATAAGTTCTTGTGTCAGATTTTAGCACAACTGTGCTAAAACCATAAAAGGTCGTGTTTGAGTTAAGAGCCCAAAGTCATCTTGAGACTTCTATCAATTTACATTACAGAGGGAACACAGATCCATTCACTGCAAATTTTAGTGCTGGAATATCAGAAAAGCAAAGAGATGTGGCAAACAGATAGGATTTTGTGAGAGCAGGCCCTTGAGCCCATTTGGTAGAACACTAAAGTTGCAAAGAGTGACGGGCTTTGCAAGTATATCTGAACAATGAGGTACACTTTTGAAATACAAAGAAAGGAAAGGTAGAATCTAGAAATGCCTGTATGGAGAGTAGGTCTCAGTACTTTTCTGAAAGATCTCTTCATTTATTTATTTTTAGTAAGCTGGTAACAACACGAGGCATTTTCCTCCCTGTTCATAAAAGCACATCCAAAATTGATTTTTTCATTTTCTTTTCCAAGGCACTTTCACCCATATGTTTCCAAACATCCCTTTTGCCTATTTTTGAAACCAGTGACAACAGCAATATAGAAATTTTGAAATGATACCAGTGATGATTTTAAAACATTCAGTATAAATGCCCACATAGAAATTTATTAAGTTAATTGATGTCCCGAGTGCATTTGTGGTCATGATGCATATTCTAGGCGCCAAGTGATCCTCTTGTTTTGATTGTACATGGTAGGGTTGCCAGAAAATCTCGTCATGGGTGAATCTACAGAGGTCTCCTTGGGATTCTGTGATGCTCGCCTGCCTATAAGTAAGTTGCTTTATTTTTTTCCTGTCTCTATTCCTTATTTTCTATCAGGTTGATTCTGTTATATATTAATGTTGCTTTAAAAGTTCAAATTATTGAAAGTAGAAGGGAGAGTGTTGGAGAAGAGGAAGTGGGTCAAGGGAGGGGGAAAAGAGGGGAGGGTGGCAAGGGGGAAACAATCCAGATATGCTCCGTGTGTGTGCAAATACACTAAGAGGAAACCCATGCTACAGGACTAATGCACATATGATAAAAAATATGAACGAACAATGAACAGAGCCAAAAACTTCACATTGTCATGTTGTGTGATGATTGTTTACATTTTCTTTGTTTTTGGTACCAGGGATCAAATTTAGAACTTTGCGCTTGCAAGGCAGGTGCAGCGCCACTGAGCTAAATCTACGGCTCTACATTTTCTCTAATGTATCGTAGAAGGAAATTCTCTTAGGAATTCTGTTTTCATTTTAATGCTCTTTCCTTTTGAGTTCATTTCAAATAACAAATATTAAAATTTTTCTTAATATATCTGTCTTGTATCACTTATTTTTCCCTTTCTCTTACACTTTTTGACTTACTCTTCCATAATAAGTATGCCACAGATAAGCCCAAAGAGAGAGTGTCTATCACAAATGAGAGCATAAGACCTTCATCCTTTAATTTGTCTCTAATGAGTCTCTCAATTACAGGTTGTCTTTCTAAAGTCTCCTGCTCTAGGAAGCTATGAGTTAACTTTCCTTAACATACTTTCTGCTCTGCACATGTTCTGTTTAGTCTTTCAGAAAAGATTTTGCTTCCTAATGTTGCCAGCTATCTAACACCTATAGGGGGCCTATTTCAAAATCCATGTTTTATGTCCAAAAGTTTTGGCTTTTGGACATTTACAGTGACAACAGAAGACTGGGAGTTAGGTGAATCCCACTTTGGAATAACCTTACATGTGATATGTCCAGTTTATTTTTGCCAAGTTATTTCACTATTACTTTTTTTCTTTTAATGTTAAATTAAGGAAGACTTTGATTTGTTATTTGTTGTATTGAGCTTATTGGAAATTCTTCATTCTACTTGTTGAGTGAATAGTATTTTATCTTAGGAGAGGTCTGTATGTTAAGACTTATTCAGTCAGAAAAACAGTATTTCATTAGAAGACCTAGATTGCTACCTTCACTGTGTTACTTTTCTGTTCAAGTGAATTTGGATGGATCAGTTAACTTTTTCTTAGCTTCTTCATCTGTAAAATAGAAATGATAATATCACTCTGCAGAGTTACTCTGAAACTCAAATGGTGATATCTGTGAAGGAGCTGTATAGACTGGAAAGGGGCTCCGGTATTACAATTCTAGGTGCTCACGTGTTATTTTACTTGTATACTTGGTAAGTTGTTTTTGTGTACTATATTTTGAGGGGTAGTAAAGTCAAGTCACATTGCTTCCGGTCAAATTCCTCCTCTTCCTTTTACTGGAGGTGTGACCTCCTCTCCCTTAACTTCATTTTCTTGCTCCATAAAATGAGAATGACGGTATGTGTACCTCATTAGGTGGCTGTGAAGATTAAATCAGCTAATCCACTTCTAGCACTATCAGCACATCTGACAGACACAAACTGTCACCACCACCACCATTATCACAGTCCTCAGATTTGAAAAAAGAACTCATTTCCTATGTTAGAAACTCATATTTAGGGCTGGGGATTTGGCTCAGTGGTTCTGCCGCCTGCCTTGTAAGCACAAAGTCCAGAGTTCGATCCCCAGTACCAAAAAAAAAAAAAAAAAAAA